TTAAGATCCTCAGCCCAACATTATTAAACTCATAGCCATGCACTTGCCTATCCTAAAATACCCAATCACATATCTGGGTGCAAGAAACACAATTGAAACAGGAAAGAAAGGAAGACATGAACAACAAAAATCAGCCATGAAACCTGAGAGTGTCTAGACCGAATGCAACAAAAGGAAGACATAGTTAGACTCTTGAGTGAAAACAGGTTTTAGAAATCAAATGGTAAGTGCATACAAATCACCTAACATGCAAGGGAAACCGGAAAAAGCAACTGATTCAATCTCAGAAAACTAGTAATCATTCAAACCAAATTCACTTCAGCAAATTCTCCACCCATTTGCGTATCGAGAGAAACAAAAACTTCAAGCAGCCAGCCAGAAATTTACCATTTACTTCGTTTAATCATTGACATCCAAACACAAAGAACAAAATACAAAGAAACAACAACCAAGAATCAAAACAAAACTGTTTACCATTCCCAGCCATTTCTGAATTTTTAATGACACCAAAAATCAGAAATTATTTGCTATAACAAAAATAAAAGAAAAAAATCCAGTTTCATTGCAGTGACTCTCGAGCGCTCTCCTAAAGGCCCAAATATACTTAAACACGGATTAAACCAAAGTATTAAAACCTCAAAACTATCATTCAAAGCCCCACTTCTTCTCTGCAATTTTCCCATTCATACTCAAACAGATAGGAACTGAAGTCATGGAAAAACCGTAAAACGTTTTATATCTTCACAAAATTGACATTAATCTACCAAAGCTGCAATCTTTCGAATCCAATCAACATTCATTCAAACACCCAACATCAAAATGCTACGTTTTAATCTCAAGGTAGTATTAACAAAGAGAAACAAACGTAAAACCTCAGGAATTGCCGAGAGCCAGTAGGAAAAGGAAAATATCTATTCGGGAAAAGAAAAAAAAAGAAAACTGATCTTGTCTAATGGAAAGAGTTCGTAGATTACCTCTGATACAATGAAATGGATGCGAACCCAAGACAAACTATCGACCGAAAGCTGCAAGATCCTTCCTTTGCCCCTCTGTCTCGAGCTTGTCTTCTTTTCCTCCCGTTATTGCCATTCCTATCAATCTATCCTGTTTCCCTTTTAGTTTCTCTCTTTCCCTCAGCCAGATGTCTCTCCCCCTCAGGCGCAATCCCTTTTTTTTTTCTCTGCTGAAATTTTTCTTGTTTCTTTCCGTCTCTTTTGCCGTCTCCCCCTTTTTACTCCCTCTCCTTTGCGGCTGCCCTTTTCCTTGGCTTTTTATAGGTTCGAAACCTAGAAACCTAGCTACCCTCTTCAACCATTTGCAGCTGAAACCCCTCAGGCCCTTCTGTGCAAACTGCGCTTGCAGCTTGCCGCGACTGGAAAATGTTTTTTTTTCTTTGAAAAATAAAAAATAATTAAAATGTATCAAAAAGTAAATAACACTAAAAAGCTCTTCTTTTTTTTTTTAATTTTCAAACTTTTTTTTTTCATTTTTTCCAAAGATAAGCCAATATGCATTAAACCATGTTTTTCCTTTTCTTTTTTTTTTCTCTCCCCTTTTTTATTTTTCACTTTTTCTTTTTTCTAAAAATTCTACGCTAAAACTTACAAAATAAAAACTACAAAAACAACTAAAAACTAAAAAGTGAATAAAACTAAAATAAAAATAACACAAACAATAATGAACTAAAATGCAAACCATCTAAACACAAATCAACCGATAAGAATTATAACTAAAACAAAGCATACCAATTAATTCAAAATTTGGTGTCTACAGGATGAATACCCGAGCCTACCTTCATTCTTCATTTGGTCAGTGGGATGACTATCCGAGCCTGCCTTCATTGTTCATTTGGTCAGTGGGATGAACACCCGAGCCTGCCTTCATTCTTCATTTGGTTAGTGGGATGAATACCCGAGCCTGCTTTCATTCTTCATTTGATCAGTGGAAAGACTACCCGAGCCTGTCTTGATAATCGGTCGGTTAGTGGGATAGAACCCGAGCCTTTCGTAGAATTTTGAGAAAAGAGACAAACATCTTCCTCTAAATTGCCCCAGTGTCATGCTTATTGGACTATCGGACCTGCAAGAAAGGAAATAATGATAGATAATACCGCCTCCATCCGATCAACCCCTTTTCAAGAGAAGTGTAAACATGAGCATTTGGACTCCTTATTTGGCGAAGCAGGTACTTCAATCTAGCCCTGTGAACAATATCAAGTTTTCATAATTTCTCATATGTAGACCAACATGTCATCTAGTATCTATTCTTTTCGATAAATCATAGGATTGTCATTTGATAGAACGAAAGAGACAAATGTGACCATGCAACACACGAAAAACATTCTAATTGAACATAATGATGAAAAATCTTAACAATATAAACACAATCCTCTACTTTTATTGCATGAAAAATCATTTCAAATAGATAAGCTTGTATACTCAAATTTCGTGTTTGATAAATCAAACACTTTGGTTTTCGAACCAAATGCTACACTTGACCCTTTGGATATCATCTCTTCGGAGTTCAAATGCTTGACAACAGAACCACAATGTGAGGAGAATCTCCAATAAACTAAGTCACCAGTACTTTAGATCCACACTCACTTTTCCTTGTAAAACCCTACCTTAGCGCCCTTTCGGGTTTTCACTAAGGTTACCCTCGCCCATTTTGTTTTCCTTTCACTTTTTTTTCTTTTTCCTTTTTCTTCTTCTTTTTCCTTTTTCCTTCTTCTTTTACTTTTCTTTTTTTCTTTTTTTTCTTTTTCTTTTTTCCTTTTTTTCTTTTTCCTAAGGTGCCCTTACGGGTTTTCACCTAACAAACAAATCTTGTCTATCGCCCATATTAATCCAGAAATGTGTTTTAAGAAATAATGGCATTAATATAACAATCCTTCCTTTGCAAAATAGGTGAAGGTGTTTTTGACATCATGTGCCACTTGATTAGAAATTGTCCTAAAAAGGCAATATAAAGAACAGAACTCAGGACTTTTAGGTTTTTGCAATGGGGTCTGGTGGGGTGTTTAGAAAAGAGTTAAGGCTTGAAAGCGGACTTATGAATGTTTAGATTTCCTGAGATCGCATCTTTAAATTAAGCCTACTAATAATTGCCCCAGTTTATTCTCAATCGAGATCCTCCTCTTTTCATTTTTCTCTTCATTTTGTTCCTCTATCGCTTTTACCTTTTGAACCCTCTCTTTCTTTTCTTTTCTTTCTTTTTCCTTCTTTTCCTTCTTAGCTTTTTCAACTTAAAACTTGCCCCAGTGTGGGGTTTGCGATTCTCAGGGGATGCCAAACGAAATAATTTGCTCTGAAGGCTCAAAAGGGATAACTAGGGATAGAATGTTTGATTGGAAAGGAAGAAGGCCTGACTTTTCATTCCATTCTTTACATTAAACCCTAAAAGGAAATTTTCATTTATCATATGAAAAATTTCTTACACATATCCGAATTGATTGGTTGAGGGAACACTTGCCCATCCATTTCTGCAAGAATGAGCGCTCCCTCGGGCAAAATTTTCTGGACAATAAAAGGGTCTTGCCAATTTGGTGCAAATTTCCCCTTAGCTTTCTCTTGTACTGGCAAAATGTGTTTCAACACTTTATCTCCTTCTGTGAATATTCGTGGTCTGACCCTCTTATTGTAAGCACGGGCTACCCTCTTTTGATAACATTGACCATGACAAATGGCATTTAACCTTTTCTCATCAATTAAAGACAACTGCTTATGACGTTGTTGAATCCACTCAGCCTCCTCCAGTTTGGCCTCCATTAAAATGCACAAAGAAGGGATTTCGACTTCGGCTGGCAAAACTGCTTCCATTCCGTACATGAGATTGTAGGGAGTTGCCCCAGTAGAAGTCCGAATAGCAGTTCTATATGCCATTAATGCATAAGGGAGCTTCTCGTGCCAATCACAATGTCTCTCAATCATCTTACGGATTATTTTCTTCAAGTTCTTATTTGCAGCCTCTACTGCTCCATTCATCTGTGGCCTATAAATAGAGGAGTTTCGATGTTTGATTTTGGACTGTTTGCACAAACCATCCACCATGTCATTGTTGAGATTTTTGGCATTATCAGTGATTAATGTCTCCGGCACTCCAAAACGACAAATGATATGCTTTCTTAGAAAGTCCGTCACCACCTTCTTAGTCACATGCTTATAAGACTCAGCTTCAACCCATTTGGTAAAGTATTCAATTGCCACCAGAATAAATCGATGCCCGTTTGAAGCGGGAGGGTCAATGGCTCCAATCATATCCATACCCCATATTAAACATGGCCAAGGAGCAATCATACTGTGCAATTCTGTGGGGGGAGTGTGCATAACATCTCCGTGCAATTGACATTTGATGCACTTCCTAACAAAAACTACACAATCATGCTCCATGGTAAGCCAAAAATATCTAGTCCTCACGATCTTCTTTGCTAACAAGTGGCCATTCATATGTGATCCACATACTCCACTATGTACTTCTTTCATCAAGTATTCTGCTTCGTCCTCATCAACACACCTCAGAAGGCCCAAATCTGACGTTCTTTTGTATACCACTTCTCCATTCAAGAAGAATTTAGATGATAATCTGCGCAAAAAGCTTTTGGCAATCATATCGGCCTCAGGAGAGTAGGACCCTGTTTTGAGAAATTCCTTAATGTCACTGTACCAGGGACGGCCATCGGGGGATTTTTCCACAACTAGGCAATGAGCAAGTTTTTCTTGCAAGTGAATGTGGATAGGTTCAATTACCAACTCGTCTGGATGTTGAATCATCGAAGATAAGGTGACCAAAGCATCGGCGAAGACATTTCTGGCACGTGGAATATGCCTGAACTCCAAACTCCTAAATTTGTTTGCCAAATTCAATAACCTACAATGATAAGGCACGATCTTTGAATCCCGAGTGATCCACTCTTTAAGATTCTGATGCACGAGCAAATCGGAGTCACTGAACACTATTAAATCCTTAATCTCCATTTCCAAAGCCATTTTTAGCCCAAAAATTCAAGCTTCATATTCGGCCATATTGTTAGTGCAGAAAAATCGTAGTTTAGAGGAACCAGGATAATGCTTCCCTTCAGGTGATACTAGAATAGCTCCAATACCAGCTCCAAAGGAATTTGATACCCCATCAAAAGATAGCCTCCATTCAGAACATTTTTCATTAATGTCTTCTACTGTACCCACGAACAGGGCCTCCTCATCTGGAAAATAAGTGTGAAGCGGTTGATAATCGTCCCTCCTTGGGTTTTCGGCCAAGTGATCCACTATCGCCTGACCCTTGATGGCCTTTTGCGTGGTAAAAATGATGTCAAACTCCGAAAGAATCATCTGCCATTTAGCCATGCATCCAGTTGGCATTGGTTTTTCCAACAAATACTTCAAGGGTCTGACCGAGAGATAAGATAAGTGGTATGACTAAGCAAATAATGCCTCAACTTCTGAGCTACCCAGGCCAATGCACAGCAACTCTTTTCAAGAAATGTATATTTTGCCTCATAAGACGTGAACTTCTTGCTGAGATAATAAATAGCTTGCTCCCTCTTTCCAGAATCGTTATACTGTCCCAAAACACACCCCACAGCCTCGTCGAGCACTGACAAGTACATAATCAATGGTCGATCCGGCTTGTGTGGTACTAAGACCGGGGGTGCAACAAGTAGTCTTTAATTTTATCAAACGCCTGCTGGCACTCTTCACTCCAATGCAGTGGCACATTTTTCTTCAATAGCTTGAACAGAGGCTCACATGTGTGGGTCAACTTGTACACACCAAATTTTTTATTTTTAACTCTGTTTATTTAATTGATTTAAGTTTAGATTTATGTGTTCAATTTTTAGGTTTCTTAGTTTATTTATTTATTTAATTTTATTTTTAGGTCTTTTACTTTATTTTGTTCTAGTTTATTTTATTTTATTGTTTATTTTGGTCTTCATACTAAATTTCATAAAAAAGAAAAAAGAAAAATTGACAAGTGGAAACTTGCATGTGGGACAAGTGTCCCTTCTTATTTGCTAACAACACATCACCTAGGTGGCAAGGGGAGGAGACACTTGTAGGATAGAGGATTTTGGAAAGAAAAAAAAACAAACAGGAAAAAAGGAAAAAAGAAAAAGGATGAGATGGCCGACTAAAAAGAAAAGGGAGGAAGCTTCTGAAAATGGGGGGAGAAAAAAAAAGAAACAGGTGGAGAAAAACAGAGGGGCGGCGAGGTTTTGGGCATGAAAGCTTCGGCGAACTGAAGAAGAAAGGAAAAGGAAGAAGATCGCGAAGGATAAAAAAAAAGCAGAAAAAAAGAGGAACCGGGTGGCGGGCTGAGCATAAATGGAAGAAACAATCAACGAAAAAAACAGCACAAAGGGGAAAATAGGGGAGGCTTCGGTGAGAGAGAAAGAGAACAAGGAGGTTTTGGGGCGGAGCAAAAACAGAGGATAAGAAAAGAGGGCGATAGAGAAAAACAAGAGAAATGAGGAGGCCGAAACTGAGGAAAGAGATAGCTTCGGCTGATGACTGCTGGGTAGAGAAGAAAGCTAAGGAAAACAGAGGAGGAGCCATGGACGGACATAACGAAAAGGGAGAAAGGGGGGCTGAAAAAGAAATACAAAGGAAAAGGTAGAGGGCTTCACAAGCAAAGGAGGCGGCGGACTAGGAACCGAGAGAAAGAAACTAAAAGGGTAGCTACGGCTGAAGAAAAAGGGAACCAAAGGGGGGGCAAAAAGACGCAGGAGGTTTCTGGTCTGGAAGTTTGGAGGTCTTGAGGGCAGAGGGGACATAAAGAAAATACAGAGTAACAGCCGCTCATCGGCCATCACAGCACGCAATCTCCATAGCTGCCGTCACTCTGCTCTTATCTAATTTCCGCCGCCTCCAAGTTCCGCCACGGCACCTCCATTTCATGCACCGCCTAGCTGCCTGACGCACCTCCCCCTTCCGCACGGCCTTTCTCCCTCACTGTCGCTCCTCGATTTCATGTTGCCACCCACCACTGGCGCCCAGCTCCAGCGCGGTTACCATGGCAGCCACAGCCGCCTGATTATTCGCTCCCTCCCTCGACCGTCACCACCGTCTGCAGACTTCGTCAAGCAAACGCTGTAAGCCGTCTGCCTCTCTTGGAATTTCAGTTTTCCATTTTTAGTATGAACATTGAAAAATCTCAAAGCATGGCTGTCATGCGTTTGTTCAGTGCCAATAGACTTTGATTGCCCACGATTTTGGGTTGTATGTTATTGTATGTTGTTTGGACTAGAATCTCTTGTGTTTTGACTAATTTTGGAGGGCTAATTACAGTCCCAATTGAGCAAAATTGTTGGATTCTGCTATGCCCATGTACTGTTTGTTAAAATGCCCAAGTGAATGTTCTACATGGAAGATTGATGCCTAGTCTGCTTGGGGAAGACGATCGTTTTGCCTAAATTTGCAATTCCCGTCGTTCCATTTCCTTTTTGTTGTAATTTAGCCCCAAAATTTTGGAACTTCATAATCTGACCCCAAAAATGTTCATAATTCTTTCAATTAGATCCCTATTTTTGTTGTGTTGGAACCCCTTAATCTTCCCTCTTGTTCTGATATGACCTGGAAAATTGGGAAAAGTGAACTTGTTTCTTCCTTCTAGATCTTAATCATCTTTTAATATGCATAAGCAGTCTTTTATCTTAATTATTTCTTGTCTTTAGATCATAATTGTGGCTTAATAATTTTGTGGATTTATCATGTTGGGTTTAGGGAGATTAGATTTTTTGGTAAGAGGTTTATTTGGTTAGGTTTGGTAATATATTCTGGTATATTTCTTCTGGATTGATGATTTGGGCTTGGAGGCTTAAAGCCTTTAACTTTGTACGAGCTAGATTAGTGAAAATGATGGGCTAGCCCGTTTGTTTTCCTTGGACTTCCGATTGGGCCAAGCAACTTTTGGCCCCAACAAATAAAATGGCCCAATGGCCGGTTTTTAAGAATCTGGTAACTAAATTTGCAGATCCGTCCCTGTACTTTTCTTTAACTTCACTATGGCCCTACAAACTTTCAATGCTTTCAATTAGGTCCCTAATGTAATTGCACACAGGTCCCTAAACTTTCTTTTTCTTTAATTTTTGACCCCAAAACTTTGTTAATGTTTGCAATCAAGTCCTTTCTTCTTTTGACTTCTTAAATGTGGGTTGTTTGCATGATTTATTTGATTCAATTTAATGTTTATTTTATCTTTTGTGATTTATTTCTTAACTAAAGTGATACCTTGACCCTTTCTTTGTATTTTGGAGGGTAAATAAGTGAATTCATATCATTAGGGCTCCAATTCAAGGGAGGTACACCCTATCCCTTACTTTATGTGACCTTACATGCCCTATGTGACTTTACATGTTTGATTGTATGCCTCTTGAATGTTTTTTATTCATTTCATTCATTTGCTTTATTAGCTATGTATATTTATTTCTTAATTCAATTTGATTATTCGAAAGGCATTTGAATGCCAAATTTGTAATAGTTAGGGATTTAATTGTTTTATTCCTTTTCCCCCTCAGATTGTAGTAGGGTTCCCCGAATGTAATAGTTAGGGATTTATTTGCTTTATTTGCCTTATGTGTATTTTGCATGTCTATGTGCTATGTGTTACTTGTTTTCTTAGGCCCTTGCATCTAGATACCATGATTATGTGTTATGTGCTATATGTGATTTATGTGTTTATTTGCTTTATTAGGCTTTCACATGATTTATTTGATTGTAATGAATGTGTGACGTCACCACACTAGTCCAACGCTAGTTGTGGTCAATTTCTCGAATCCACACTAGTCCAATGCTAGTTGTGGCCCTTTGTTCCGACTTTTCTCACTAGTCCAATACTAGTGGGAAATTGTAGAAAGGGCTAGTCCAATGCTAGACCCTTAGGGACCTCCTACGCTAGATCATGTTTGTGCAACTACATTACATTCTCATGCATATTTTTCCACCTTTTAGGATTCTTACCATGTTGCATGACATTTTTCTTATATATGTACATTCTTTATCCCCTATTCCCTTTTATTTATATCATTTATTCCGTATTTTCCCTTATATGTATATTCCTTACCCTTTTGTATGAAAACATGACATTAGACTTGCATTTTCAATTAAGAATTAGAACTAGACTAGCACATTTGCATGATTAAATTAGGGAAATTACCCTTTGAATATGGGATATGGACGAGTTTGGCTTTCTAGCTTTAGCACGCTCGTATTCCCTCTATAAAAGGGAAAATTGAGTCACGAACATTAGTTCCCCGTACTTGACATGATGCATTCCTTTAGGTCATACGCATTTGTATATTATTATCTTCTTTACTTTTTCTTTCTTTCGAGTCTCATGACTTGCATTATTCGTGATTTCTTCGAAGAGTCTTTATTGGAAGTCACAATTAATGTGATTGATACCAAGTAAGATTTGAAGATACATTTCGACCATCCGATACCCTCTTAGGTCTAGGGTTTGCATTCATATAGTACATCCAAATGTGATAAATCTTTAGGTTAAAAATAAGAAAATTTTGACTAAATCACGCAACTAGCCTTGGCTAGGTTGAAAGGGTGCCTTGGATTCTTATCCTTGCCTTCCCTTTCTTCAAATGTGACTCCCGAATCTTTTTTCTCTGATTTTCGTAGATTTGGCGTCGTTTAAAAAGGGTTTTCTACTTTTTCTTTAAAAATTCATTTTTTAGGTGACTTGGTACACCTCAACTCAATACCAAGTGGCGACTCCGATTTTTTCATTCAAAAACCCTTTTTAAACTATTATTTTGGATCAAATCGTCGCATTTTCAAGTCTCATTTAGACCCATACTTTTCTTCATTTTCTTTTTAAATCAAAATTCACTTTTTTTTAAACCATTTATTTTTCTTATAAAAAATGGGGCGCGACAGCTGGCGACTCCACTGGGACTTAGAGAGTCCGAGCAAATTTGATTTAGTCAATCTTTTTCTCCTTTTAACCTATCCATATATCGCATTTGGAGTTTAGGGTTGCATTTTTCCTTTTTTTAGGATTTTGCATTTCGCGCGTATCAACTCACTCACATCATCCATTTGGCATCTGATTTTGTTTGATGGATGGATGGTTTATGTATGTGATTCCGCCGCTTTGCATTGCATTTGGTGGGGATATTACCCTAGAGCCTCGCATTGGGTTCTTGATCCATTCCCTCTAAACGAGCACTAGCATACGTGCATACGCTTTAATTTTGTACCCCTCATTTATTTTTCTTTTAGTGGCTTGTCACCCACTCCACCCTATTAGGATTAGGCGACCCACTTGGACGTGTGATCACGACATGATGTGTGTGTAGCATGATCCGATGGGTCACTCAATCTTCCGCTTTAAGCTGTGGGTTGATAGCCTTTAACTTTTAGTCGAAGTTTGAGAATTTTTGATAGATTCACTCAAACACGTAGCCGTGACACGATGTGTGCGTAACAGTGTTTGGGGAATCGCTCGAGCCACCGACAAAGAACCTTGGGATTGATGACCCTTGGTTTCCAAATCTGAAGGCTCGGGGACCTAAGACCTATCGAGTCCAGATGCATTAGTGAGCCAATCCTCATGCATCCATATTTAGAATTGCCTTAGGGTAGAGTCTGCCTTACC